GTCTTTAGGGATTGCAAGAGCAAGATAGTTCCAACTTGAAGCATGGCTTACAAAAGAAAAGGTTGGTTCAAAGTAGATGAAATTTTTAACGAGTAGGTTAAGGTCAATTAATATCAACTAGGCAATTATTCTCAAGCATGAATATCTTAAGTGTTGTAATGCAATCCCTAAGAAATTCATTGGGTTTAGACTTGAAAAGTTTTGAAGAATCATTTGGTAGCCCTCTTAAAGGATTCACTTTCAATGTGCATAAATGTATACATTAAACCATTATGTAAATTGTATGGATGAATTGTACATGAAAATTGTAGGGACGTAAAAATATATTATTGTTTAATTATAAATAGATTTGTTGGTATTCAGCTTGTTGTTCTTTATGCTTTAAGTTAGTGTGATTAAATTTCACATATGACAATGATGACCATTAAAAATAAGAATATCCTTTGATATTTTCATGAAAAATGAAAAAAATTTTAAAATATCTATTTGCATTTTTAGAATATTTATATGTATTTTCAGAATATCCATTTGTGTTTTTAGAATATCCATTTGAATTTTCAAAATAGCTATATGCATTTTCATAATATGCATTTGTAATATCCTGAAAACACAATATTGATGCAATACTCAAACTCTAAGTTTTAAGCCATATTCAAATATGCATTTTGAATACCTTAAAAATGTAATTTTTCTTTTATTTATTCAAATAATCACTTTGGATATTCGAATATCGCTTCAAGGAATTGCAAATAGGCTTTCATTTATTCAAATATGCCAAAGTGTTATTCGAATATATGAAAAAAAAAATTGTCAATGAAGATCAGTTGCACATGAAAAAATAAAGATTGCATATACTTCAAATATATCTATAAGGAAAATTAATGAGTGATACTCAAATATGCAAAAGTGTTATTCAAATATGTGAAAGAAATTTGTATTTCATTAACAATCAGTCGTATATTGAGAAAGAAAAATTGCATATGCTTTCAAAAGTATTCATAAAAAAAATTGATGAGTGATATTTGAATATATGAAAGAAATTTGTATTTCATTGAAGATCAATCGCATATTGAGGAAAAAAGATTTCATATGCTTCTAAAAGTATCTATAAGGGAAATTGATTAGTAATATCTAAATATGCAAAAGTGTTATTCGAATATATGAAAAAAATTTGCATTTCATTGAAGATCAATCGCATATCAATGAAGAAAGATTACATATATTTCCAAAAACATCCATAAGGAAACTTAATAAGTGATGTTCGAATAAACAAAAGTATTATTCAAATAAATAAAAGTTTTCTTGCATATAATCTAATGCTATGCTTAGATGCATATGGATTTAGATTTAGACTTGGATTTGAATTTAAGCCAAATTTATTATTTCGATAATTAAAAATGTATGGATTTGGATAATCCAAATTCAAATTTAAATTCTACCTCAATTTTTTTTAATTTAAAATCCTTTATAAATCAATATTATTTTAAATTCTAACTCAATTTTTTTTTATAATTTGACCCAAATTCACGAAGGCTTGATTGACCTGCCAATAGTAATTTCCAATCCTTATGAAAGTCGGCTGTCCAGTCCTGGTGGAAAGCAGCTGTTGGGTCCTTGTGGTCACTGTTAGTCCGGTCTCGTGGAAGTCAATCATTCGATCCTTGTCATTGTCGTCGGTCCAGTCCTTGTGGAAGTCAGCCGTCCAAATTTCTTTTAAATTCAAATATATAATTTAAAATTTTACTTTAAATCTAAACAAAATATTTTAATATTATATTTTAAAATTTTTTATATCATCCAAAATAAAGAATTTAGAATATATGAATTTCAAAAGTAGGATTTTAAATCTAAATTCCCAACTTAAATTCACCCATCTAAATACAACCTAAGTTCAAATGCATATAGTGAAAAAATAATTTTATATGATTAAAAAATCTCTGCTTCTAATATTTCAAAATGCTTTTAAGTTAAAAATTTTCATAATATTAAAAAATATTATTTGTATAAATAAAATTTTTCTTGCAAAGTTCAAATACTTATAGTAGAAGAATCACCGCATATGACTGAAGACCCCTACTTCTAATATTCTAAATTATTGACAGCAAAGGACCTTGCGACATATTGACATGAAGGACCTTCTATTAACTGTTGTTATGAAATTATTGACAGCGAAAGACCTTGTAACATATTGATAGTGAAGAACATTGTATAAAATATTGACAGTGAAGGACCTTGCTGTTTTTTTGCTTTTTTTTCTAACAGAAAGGGCATTTGTGTCATTTAAACCTCAGAAATTAATGCCAGCAAAGGACCCATTATCAGAATTTGTCCCAACTCCTTAACAAATAATTTTGTGGTGAGGTTTTTTTGGGCAATTTTTCCTATAGTTTGTCCTGCGTATACGTATATATATGGGCCCATGACTGAGACATGATTAGCATATTTATCCACATTGAGGTAGGTTCATTCTGTTGACATGCCACGGTTTAGAATTATTCTCATCAACACTATCGTATATTATCGTGATCTTCAGATATATACTGCTCCTTAAAGTAGTGAACATGATCTTTTCATGATATTGTCAACATTACAACTACATCAACAAAAGAAATTGTTATTTTCTACAACTTGATAATAATGATAAGTAGATATTTTTCTCCTTCGTTTTCATAATTTTTTTATTATTAAATTCATTCTGTATAAATTAAACATCATAATACAGTGTCATTGTTTTTTGGCATCTAATAATTTATAAGACACGGTAGATTCAAGTATTATTAGATCTAAAATAATATTATAACTCTTTCAATATGATTTTTTTCTATTCATAAAATTTGAAATTATGACTTCACTTAAATGCCCTGTCCATCCAACCTAATCACCTTTTTTATAATATAATGATATTGTTAATATTAAAATTTTGATGTCAGACTAAATATTAACGCTTGTCACAAAATATATAATGAGTGCCACAATTACTTTCCCTTTTATCAATTTTACTTGGCCTCTAAAATATTGATAGTTAGATATGGAGTGAACTCCGACGCAGAAGAAATAATAATAAAATTCCACTAACATATTAAATTAAGGTCAATGTGTAGTGAATCCCAGAAGCATCCAATACATTTCTCTCATCGCACTAATTAATTATCTTAAATGTTAATGTTTGATGACGTTTGGCGTTATGCTTACCAAAGGAACATCATTAATATGGCTTTGCTTATTCAAAGGTTAAAACACACGTACTCACAACAGAAACACAGCGAAAAGATAATTAATTAGTGTGATGAAAGAAATGTTTTGGATTTCTTTATATTTTGGAAAAATAAAAGAAGAAGAAAAAGAAAAGTGAGTGCGTCCATTAAAACATTTCACACCCACTTAGTTGTTTGTTTGATTAGGATTTAGGACACATAATGATTTCTATATGCTTAATTAATGAATCATTATCTATTACTGCCTTCAATTTTTTAGCTTAATTAATCACCCATCCCTACCCCATTGAATTTGTTTTAATATGGAAAAGCCAAAAAGGTAAGAGTTGATTGATTGGTAAGTATACAAAAATTAATCGAATACTGTCGCTAAGTAGTAAGCTTAAATTATTATATAAAAAGTAAAATTTATATACATAATATACTTTTATCAAATCAAAATAAGACATATAAACTTTAATATGTTAACAACATTAATAATAAAAATTTGTTATAAATTAAATAATCTATAAAAGATATATATCTTGATTTAATTAGAAACACATACTTTAATTAAATAAGTTTCTCCATCATAACCATATATAAATTAGTCAATATTCAGTATTGGACGCCAGGACAATTTATTATAGTTTTCAACAGAAATTGTAATAAATCAATCAATGAGTTTTTTAATATATGTTATATTTAAATCAATATATCAATATCATCAATATAAAACATAAAAAGTATTTACAAATTAAGGATAGTATAATTTATCCGCTAATGTCCACTTTACTTTTTCCTCCCCCCACCCCCAAAACTCTCAAACAAAATTTAAACTGTTACTATATTTTAACTAAACAACATATGTAATCAATATAGTTAAAAAAAAAAAAAACAGTTATCTTTATCGTTCCTTTACTATTTAATTATTAGTCATCGAAGTTACACTTTAAACTTCGCTATATGTTTCCTTAAATTATGTTTTGTGAGACACCAACAAAAACATTAGAGTTAGAGCTAAAAAAATCATTCAGTGTTTCATTGGATCTATATATCTATATATGATTTTAAAAAAAAAACCATAACAAGTAACATTACTCAGAGTTGTAAATAATTTGATTTGCTTGAATCTTTCAGTTCATGAAAATACAAGTTTAAATTGAAAATTATACTATTTGGAAAGGTTTAGAAACTCGTGCTTAGCCATGATGACCCGTGTTACTGCATTTCAGGCCCAAATTTGATTAACCATAAGCCCTAATTGATCCCAATTAAAGTTGGGCTGAACCAGGTTCTGATCAGGCCGCCAATGGTCTCAACCATGCATGCAATTTCTTTTAATGAAAACTCATATTATTTAAAAAAAGGAGTTTTTGAATGACAACTGTAATCAGTAATCACTATCGATCAAAAGTTAAAAAAAAAAAAAAAATACATCGGTCATCCACCAACTTTCTACAGGGGGTTAATCAAAAGTTAAAAAAAAAAAAAAAAAAACCAGTAGAGACGAGTCAAGCGACAGATTATCCAGCAGGTGAGCACATTGAATTGCTAACCAGCGACTGAAACAGAGAGAAATCAGTCAATCCCTTCTGAAAAAGCGTCTAGCAATATCTGATATCCCAAAAGGTGTGAATGGGATGAACTCCTCCAGCGACCATTCTGACAGCTTCAGTACAATTCAACGTTTTTCAAACCCAACATCCAGCAGAGATTAAGCCCTTCTATAATACCGACCACCTCACACAAGTTTCATGTAAAATTCTTTAGCTTTTATGGAAGTAAGAAAGTAGAAGAAAAGCATTAACATAATGCAGTACGCTTTGATGAGTCTCCATAACCACAACGATAGAATAATCTGTGTGACAGTGAATATACAACTTTCTGAAATTGATTATAACTAAGAAAAGCAGTAAGCATCAGTCATTAGGTGTTTGCCTTTTGGCCTCCAAGATAATATTATGATAATGAAAAGATTAAACTTCTATTTGGCGAGCTTTATCACTAATGGTTGGCATGCTTCCTTCCCATAATTCCATCAACTCCTTCCTTAACCAGGAGACAAAAATCACAGGCCCCAAAGTAGAAGGCACCTACATTTGCCATATTGGACAGCCATGTTAAAAGAAGGCGAAACAATTTCTTCCCCAAACATATTCTCAAAAGGAGTTAGAAAAAGATTAGATAAAAAAGATAAAACGTCTCTCATACCCAATTTGTTTCATATACAGTCATACACTTTTATTTCACTTTCTGAAAGCACATGTACGATTGTGTCCAACTAGCCAAAACATGGAAGCACGTCAAACATATGTCCCTATGTGTGTGTAAAGAGGAAGTGCGTGTTATAAACAGTCTGTCTCATGCAGAGCCTCCACGGGTGGTTGTTAAACTTGGTCTATCTACTTTTTGTAGAGTAAATACCCCTAAAAATTCTTCAACACTTGAAATAGGTGAAAGATAGAAGATACTCAAGTATCAAGGCAGCTGGACCAGCTACAAGTGATTTCCATGCTACAGAACAAGGCGCAATGAAGTTCCTTTCAAGTGTTCTATTAGCTTCTTCAATAAACAACGCCACATTGACAATCTTTAAAACTCAACAGTCAACACCACGTTATTGACTGTTTCAAAAACTCTACCGAATGTCATAATTATAAGAAAACTTGTGAACTATACATCTAAGTTTTTTTTTTTTTTGCCCCCCATAAATACTATCCTCGAGAAATATCAAAACAGTAGAGGGAAATGGAGAGGATATCGAAAATCAGAATCTTTTAGAGAAGGAAAAGCCACAAGAAAGTCAAGGCACAGGAGTTGATTTAGACATACTACGAAAGCTTTTAAGACAGCCTCATTTTTCAATTCTTCACAGTTGTATCCCAGGAAAATGTTCACATTCTTTCCAAAATTTTCAGGGCTCAAGGTAACATCAACAGCAAGACATATTATAGGATGAATTAATGCCAATGCCAAAACAGTCCTGGGCTCAAAGCTATCAGTGCTAAATATACCAACACAAAAGTATCAGAACATTGGATAAAGATGAATTAGTATAAGGCAAAAGGGCAAAAATATCCAAATAGTCATTAATCAAGAGCATCCAGTAGCTTAAAATGAGGAAAAGCGTAGGGGTGCTTATTAAGTTATTTTTTCGATGCATTTATGACCAAACCGTTAAAAGTCAAAGACATTGGACGTTATGTTTTAGATCTAAAATTTAATGATTTGCTCACAGATACATCAAAAAAATAATTTAATGGGCACTCGTGCACTTTTTTTCACTTTAGGCTATTGGATGTTCTTGGCTAATGATTTCTTGGCCATTTTTGCCCCTTTGCCCATTAATATAAGATGGATGTATCTTCTTACAATTGGAGCACTGTAACAGTGACAGGATTCAAATAGGTGAATGGCATGTTGCTTTGCTAAATACATCACACAAGCAGTCGTACACACAACCACCAAAATCTGAAATTGGTGGCTTTAAGCCGTAACCATATTGAACAATGCTAACCTACCTTTACATATGCAAATTAGTTGACCACCTTATAAACACCTATCATCCTTTTTTAAAGCTAAGTGCACAGATTCAATAGGTAATTACAAGATGAGCCACGTAATAATACTTTACAACGAAACAGCATCAACAGCATTACCACAAATGCTTGTATAACCCATCAATAGGCCAAACAGTATAAAACTCTACCTCTTTAGAGGTCAGACACTCCATAGAACACCTGAAAACTTATACTCCAATTAAATGTACGCACAATTTGAAAAGCTAGGTTGCAATTCTTTAACTGAATCTAATGCATTTTTAGCCTTCAGATTTTTTTTAAAAAGGAGGGCGAGAGAAAAGGTTAATATATGTTTCATCCAAATAAGAAACACAGTAGATGCATTATGTCTAGATTCATCAAATGTTTTCATTCTAGTCATGTTTGCTTCTCTCATCTTTTGCTTTATGAATGATGGCACAACCTGGGAAGTGCGACAACTATAGTAGTTTTAAATGCTTCAAGTTCATCAAGTCTAACAAATTAATTAATAAGGGAAACAAAAAAGGATAGCTTAGAATAAAGGGGCCATTGAAACTGCTTTCATAAATGTGAGATTGAAATAAGATGACAAGAAAAAATAGCAAAAACAGAAGTACCAGATAGAGCAGTGCAGGTTGGGGTGAGTGAGTTAAGACTCCAGCAGCCAAAGCAGTCACCAGGCCAATTGCATACCCAGGTAAGGCATACCATATGTATTTATGTCCCTTTGAAGAATGTAACTCAATAAGATTTACAGTGTTATTGCTCTTTCGATGATCAAAGCAGAGGACCAAAGCCAGAAGCATTGATGGGATAGCCTGCAATAACATTAATCACATCATCATGGCCATCACGAAGCTACTTTAACCTGGGTGTTTAAATAAACAGAAGTCTGAAATGATGAGTAGACAAGCATGTGCATCATATCACACAAATTTTATACCCTCAGTCAAAACAAAAAGGGGCAATCTTAGTGATCTGCAAACCATAATCAAATACAACCAAATCAATTTTCTAGATCTTTAAGTTTGATTTCATCCTATCAAAGTATTCAAATTAAAGCTCCATCGATTCTATGATAAAACCATATGATAGCATGATGAAAGTTTAATTTGCCTGATATGAATTGTATCAGTGAATTGATGTATCACAGATACATCGATTCTATGATAAAACCATATTATAGGCCATATAAATTGTAGAGAACTGGTGTTTCAATAATGAGACATGTTTGTACAAATCATATCCAGACGTTATAAGTTCCAAGCATATTTATGCATTTTGGTTGAAAAGTTGAACTGATCAATCTCTTTTCCTAATAAAAGGGGGCATATTATCCTTCACAGAAAAATTTCAAGTGAAACTTGGAGCAATTCTCAAAACATGTGCCTTATAAGCCTAAACCTTCAAGTGAGGTGCATAGCTCATTACTTGACTGCACTATATAAGTATCCTTCTGTGCCACAGGGCTTGGTGTGCACTTGATTTAAATCTGATTACATATGCGAGCTCAAGTTTACAAAGAAAACCACCTGAGGCACAATTTTTGCTTTTAAATTCAGGTCCCAACTTAAAATGACCAAGGTTTCCCCATGAAAGGATATAGAGCCATACATATAAAATATGTGACGGTATGATTCCACAGAGGACCAACAGATAGGTTATTAGTTCTAACACAACTGATAAATCAAACAAAAGGAGCAGAGGGTAACCAATAAAGTGTACCCTTCCCTGGTTCCCAAAGACTCAGCATGCTGTAAACCCAATGAAATACGGTATATAGTATTTATTTGAGACAGCAAGGACCTTCCAATGTATGGAAACAGTTAAGAACTAGTAATGATACAACTTGAGAATAATTGTGCAATACCATGTCTCCTAAACCAAGCATCATGAAGTCTGTCGCATTCTCGCCAGGGAGAACTCCGCCCAATAAATTTCTTGGGAAAACAATCTTCACTGGCAGCTCCAACTTCTTTGTTATCAGTTGCAAACCAGGAAGACTTAAACTATTAGCAACAGTGTGAACAGGATTTGAAGCTTGTTGTGTTGCTACTGACACCATAACATTAGCCCCAAAAAATCTTTCAGAGAAGAAAACCCAGAAAATGTCATATACAAATAGACAAAGAAGGAGCATCGCACATATTTTGATGTTTGGAAGACGCACATGGCTTACAAATGCAATACATATAGATATGCCTAGAACATTGTTCAATATCCAATGACCCGAAACAAGCCAAGCCACCACTGTGCCAATGCATGCCAACAATAGAAGTCCTTGGAGTCGTGTAAATGATTTTGAGCAACAGCGTGAAACAAATGGGTCAGCTAATCCAAATTGTGACTTCAATTGGACAACATATGGTGACAAACAGAAGAAAAGTGAAGATGCAGAAGCAATGGCTGTGAATGCTGTGAGAAGCTGGGAGACAGATGAGAACAAGTAGAACATCAAAAGCAAGCTGAAAGAGCTCATTACTGGGATCATTAACGCTTGAGACCTGTCTAGTGTAATGGATGCTTCTGATAAGTCACGGTTACGCTCCATTTCTTTCCCATAGGTTAAAGCTCGGAATGCAGAGCCAAATGTCACAGCTACAGCTGTAACAATAAGAGTGACAGGAGCAGGCTCCAGCAAATATAAAAGTTTCCAGAGGGATTCCATCTTATAAGGGGAAAAATATATTAAAATTGGCTTTCATGCATAGAAAAACAATGCTAAATTGCTAATTCCGATTAATTAGCAACCAAAATTGCATAGTTTAGCCAAACTTCAGAACAGAGAAAACCATGCAACCTGCAGACAGCAAAAGAAGATTGTAAGTGCACGTAAACAATTTAATTGGAAAACTGGTGACTTCAAAGTAAAAGGTAGCTTAGATAACCTGACTAGAACACAAACTGCTCACTTTTTTCAAGAAAAAATGTGGAGCATAGAGGCATGGCAAAGGAGTTAAAATCTATATCAAAAAATGAAAACGAATTCTGAAGGCATTGTCATAGAAAGCTTGTCATGTCTTCCATTATTTTATTCTTTTATATGAAATGCAGATACTGAAACACAAAAAAAGAGAGAACCAATTGATACTCCCATAAATAGTGTTGTTACTGTTTTTCCAAAAAAATCTAAAAGGAATACAATCATAGATGAAAAGAGTTGTTCCTTATGTTCTTCACTCTAGAAATAGATGGCCAATATGTATAGTTAAACATAACACCAGTTCTATAACTTTTCCAAGGAAACTTGGGGGAAAATCGAGTAACCTCCTCCGACTAACTTTTTCCTCAGGAAAGCAGTAGCAAACAGGGAATTATAAACCAAAAGCAATTCATCCCAGAATAACATCAAGCCTACAAATTTCAAGTTGTCAAACACAGATTCTGAGATTGAAAAAACAAAAGTAATAGCATTTATTTCAAGACCCAACATAACCAAAATGAACAAGCATCTGACCGTCAAACAAACCCCAGAACAAGCTTATGAGAATGTTTTATTTTCCATATATGCAATTAAACCGATGTTTGATTATCTTTGTTCCGTCCCAACTCTACAAAGCTACCAAAGAGAACGATACTCAAAATGTCAATTATATTCTCTTGCTAACGACAGCACCTATTAACTGGAACAACGAACACTAGCCAAAACACCCAAAACAACCTAAAAAGTTGAAAATTTTTCAATCGAAGAGGAAGCCTCTAAAATTCGGCCAAAACCCACAATACCTACTGATTTAACTATGATCCGGAAGGAAAAAAGGACCAAAATTGAAGAAAACAAATGTTCTCCACCATCATCGATGAGGTGTTTTCGGGATGACAGACCTTCGACTTTTGGCAGAGCTTCAGAGACCTATTTCGCTATCGATGTGCTCGACGATGACCTTTTCTTTACTCGAACAGCACAACATGGGAAGAAGCAAAGTAACTCATCGGATTTTTCCGCATGGCCCCACGCATCCGCATTTGCGTAAAAGTAAGCAAAAGCACGGTTATTTAGTTGTGATTTTTTTTTAAAAAAAAAGCAACAAATTTTTTATAAGATCTATTAGCACTATATCATAGTAAAGGTATGGGATTAGGATAAAGTTTTGCTTAACATGATAAATTAATATTTAAATTTTTATTTAGATGAGTGTTTATGAGCTTGATTGTGTTTTAAATAGAATTGTCATCATTTTTTAATTTTAGATTCAATGTAACGCACTCAATCAATCAGAGAATTAATAACACTTAAACAATTAAGAGTATCTTATTTTGACCCTATGCCCAGTGACATTTTTACAAGCAAAGCATAAGATTTTAGCACTAACAAAATAAAAACCATATAATGATATCTGAACTTGATACTTATCTTAAAATATGTACATTGTATGTTCTATATTCCTACCGCGTCTGAAATAATATAAGCTACTTATATTATAACTTATAAATAATGTGATCTTTTTATAAATATTATATTGATATGTTTTCAAACTAATGATGAGACAAATATGTTTTCAAATCCTTAATTGTATATGTCACGATTCATTGACAACTTTCTAAAAATATTACCTGAGAGATATCCTATTAAGTTTATCATTAACAGTGATTAAATTTTTTGACCTTTCAATAGTGATTAAACTGAACAAAAGAAATTTGATATTTTTAAACTATATTAAGGATTTAATTTTATAAATAACACGCGTGCGCGCGCATATTTGGTTGGGGAGGATTAATGGAATTTGGGTCCAGCGTCCGCAATAAACAAGAGCCTGTGTCCAAAGTCCAGAAGCAATAGCTCCTATGTAGCAGTTTCAAGATTACTGGAGCACTCTAGTCTTCTTTTTTTTTTTTAATTAATGGAGCAGGAGAGATTTTTGGGCCCTACATCCTTCACTGTCCAATGGGCCCTAACACACAGATATATCCAATGAGCAGGAAAAGAAGCAATCATATTTAAGATGCTGTCAAGTATTAAATATAAAAAGTAAAATAAAAATAATTTATCACACAAATACTGAGATACATGATTTTTTTTTTTATTTCATAGCACAACACATTTTCCACCTACGCAATTATTATTTTTCTTTTCCTTTTCAATTCATTTCATTCCGTGTAAGATGAGCCATATGATGATCAGTAGATTGGCTTGGATTGTGCAAGGAATTAGAAAAATTACAAAGGTTTTTCTTGGTCATGGCCAATTGGGCATGGCGTGATGAATGAGATGAATTGGGAAAGTGGTCCGTGAACCTAAAATAGAATGACGCCCTGTAAGTGGCCAAAGGGCCCATTCAGATTGACAACATGCCCTGTCAAATAAAATGACAATATTGGAAGTCTTTAATATAAAACTGGTGAAAGCATGATCAGAGCGATTGGATATTTCAACTTCCAAGGACTTCTTGATTGTTATGATGTAACTATGCCAGAGATCAAGCATCTCCTATTTTTCCAGTGAGAATTGGTAGTGATTTGATGTATTCCAAGAGAGGTGAATGGTGTCTCAGATAGCAAAAGTGAGTCTCTCTGCCCTGGTTCCGCTTTCTTTGACATGGCACCTCCACACTTAAGGGCCAAGCTATGGGATTTCAATCCCCTTTGATAAACTTGATTTGAATTTCGGACTTTAGCCCTCTCTTTTTAACCCACAAAAAATTAAAATCTACACATTATTTATCTTTGCTGTTTGACAAGGTAATGAGATTTAATTTTCATATTATATCACCTACGTGCATATTGATAAGAAACTAGTTAACCATGTTTCTTATAATTAGGCTTAGAAACAGCATATTACATACGTGATACACTTGTTAAGTGTTGAACTCATAGTAATTGACAATAATTGTTGGATTAGGAGAGAGAAATTTACCCTCAGTTTGGACCAGAAGAAAAATAGGAAAAAAAAAACTATGGGAAAAAATTTTTAAAAATAATACTCCCTCCATTCAAAAATATAATGTATTTTTTGAAGAGTTGGATGATAAAAAATATAAGACATTTTTAATCTTTCAAAGTGTAATCATTGCTTTTTTTTTCAAAAGTGTCTCTATTAATAAATAACTTTATATTTATTCTAGGGTATTTAATAGAGGTAAATATAAAAAGATAGGATTAATTTAAAAGTAGGTGACTACTTTATTGGGGGTGAGATTCGATTAAAAATGCCTTACATTTCTTGACGAAGAGAGTAAAAAATAAAGTAAAATACAATAAACTCTTTTCTGTTTTGGTTAAATTACAGAGACCTACTTTCTATTTTTAAAATCTACACTTTAATCCAATTATTAATACTATTAAAAATATTCCCTTATAAATTCTAAAATACTTACTTTTTATTTGTAATTATTTTGAAAATTTAACATTATTATTTTGCCTTTGTAATCTAATTGTCTACTCTCTCTCCTAATTTTAAAATCTTTAAATAGTTATTTTGATATTTAAATAAATAATTTAAACTTTTGTGCTAAAATAAAGGGTAAAAGTGCATTTTTATTCTTGGAATATTTTCTGATGAGCACTTAGTATCTTAAAGTTTTTATCATAATAATTTTATCCTTAAACTAATAAAAGCGAAGCAAATTAGACCTTGCTGTGTTAATTATAAAAAAAACTTGTTAGTTGTCATCAAAGAAGTCCTAATTTTTGTGCTGTTATGCATGTTTCCATGCCACATTTCTTCCCTTCAACTCTCAACAAACAAAACACTATCTTTGTCATCGTCGTCGTTGTCGTTGTCATCTTCCAAAGACCCATATTCCTCTCTCTCCTATCTTTCTCTCTCTTCAACAATGAATGACACAATGGACTGGCACGTCGAAGTAACCCACTTAAACATTAAATAACTTGAAGTTGCTACATGTTAAATCCATGAGCACCACCTTCGTGGATGCCCTAAAGATATTGACATTTCTTTACTAGGTTGGAGAGGTAAAGTGAGTCGATAATGAAACAATAGCTTTAGAACACCATGGCATTAAGGTTGTCAGCCATGTCATGGCTATTAGTAAAGACAATGTCAATTGTGCTAGAGATGATGTAGTCACGATATAATTGAGTAGTGAGATGATGTAGTCACGATATAATTAAGTGGTGAGACTACATGTAGAGGGTGTCTTAGCATCTATCCAAATAGCAGCTATAAAAGGTGACTATGTGCATGGCCATGAACAAAGGAACATTCACGCCTACAAATTCATAAGGTTTTGTAATGGGATCATTGTGAAAATGAAGACTAAAGTCTCTCTTAGTTTAACTCTGTTTTTGAGACATAAGATACAGACAAACGAAGTCTCTCTTTAGGCATCTTATAGAGGTCAAACGTTATCATGCACAATGAAGGGGAAGTATTAGAGGATCCTTAAGATGTTTGCATTGCCATTTTGAATGTCCAACACATAGCTCACCTAGGTCATCATGGTCACTCCATGGTTGGGGAAGAAGGTCAAAGAAGCTTAAATAGGTGGCTGTGAAATTTTGAAAAATCACTTTAGGTGTTTTGGTTAGCAAAATTAATTTCCAAGACAATATGATTTTTCAGGGGTCTATGGTTGGTGAAAATGCACAAAAAATGGGGTCCACCAAGTTGACTCTAACAAACATTTATGCTTACTTAACGGCAAAGTAGTAGATATTAGGATTTAATTATTTAAGGGTCGAAAATGCTATATGAAATATCTTTGAGTACTGAATATTCCTTGAAGAAAATTTTAGGAGTAAAAATGCACTTGACCCTAAAATAAATAAAATAAAATATAAATTATATTAAGTAATTTATTATACTAAATCAATATTTTAGTAAGTTTTTTAAATTGCATGTTTGAAATATTATTTTGACCAATTTATGTATTTAAACTTTAAAAATTGTTATTGAAGAAATACATTTATATAACTAAAAAAAATTAAAAGCAAGGAAGAAACATAAATTTATTGCACTTTTACAAATATATAATTATTTCTCTTAAAAACCTGACATAAGCTATCTTCAGAATAACATAAGCTATTCATAAGAAAAGGTTTGCTTGTTTTTCCATAATTTCGCTACCTTTTAAAAAGGAGTAATCTCACCCCCAACAAAATCATGATCTTACAACTTACAATCAAATATTGTTGAAGTCGACTATAATATTTGAGGGGGAAAAAATGAACAATTTCTGTAACCAAACAATTTCAAATGGCAGTTAAAAGTAAAGGCAACTGAATTTCCATCCTATTAAATTTAGCAAAACATGAAGAACCTTGAGAGTGAATGCTCTCCCATCACGTCCATCAGGGAACAATATAGTGAGAGCACCTTCTTGTCTTCTCCAACAATAACACTGAATGATAAAAGTCGCATTATAAGATAGATCATTAGAATGTCACACTAAAAGGATCGACAAAACTCACCTCCCTGAAATGTTTAAGCCAATCCCCTCCCCCATCTCATATTTACTTCACCACCTTTATGTGGAAGGGCGCTCTCTACATTACAAATTAAAATAAGCTCTATAAGTTTATACTTTGTAGTCGCCTCCTAGTCCCTAACCACAAATATGAATAAACAAATGCCATTTGTCGTAGAAATTAGAATAAACTCTATCAGTATTTGACAAGTTTGCCTCTATAGTCACCTCCTAGTCTAACCTAATAACCTCTGCCATTAAAAACACTTGCAAACAAGTCTTCCTCCGTTGTCACCAGCTAGTGATTTTTTTTCTAGTTAAAGAAAAAAAATCAATCTCTTCTCATATATATATATATATATATATATAATTCAAAGCAACTTCAGTGAAGACATTAATTAGTTACTTCTAATGACATTTAGGTTCAGGAAGAAGTACATATAAATTATATGTCATATCCTTTTTTTTTTGAGTACAGGGCCACAGTGAAAACCGTGCAAAAAGACTAAAATTTAGTCATATCAGAAGTCATGAGGCTTATATAATCGGTAGGCGGGTTGATAAAGATAAAGGTATCAAAATCTTCATAAGGCATCTTGTGAGCCAGGAGGTCAGCGCAATTATTTGCTTCCCTGTAGACATGGTCAAATGTAACAATCCAATCTCTCATAGAGAAATCTATAATATTTTTGACAATTCCAGAGAGGGGGTGAGAGTCACAGCATCCGTTGTTAATGAGTGATAGAGCTTCCAGAGAGTCAGAGTGGACATTAATTTTAGTGAGCTTCTTGTTCCAACAGAGTTTGAGGCCTTTTATATGTCATATCCTTTTAATTAAACAACACCTGGCTTGGAAATTTCTTGGAAGCGTGCTGAAACACATTGAATAAGCTAATAATTATGCAGACACCCACGTTATGGGCACTAACTAGTTCGATTGACAGGAGCGCGCCATCAGAAAGTTTAGTTGATCCAGCGACTGATGAAACACATCATTCGGGCCTGTACCACAGTTTATTTGATCGAGCGACTGATGAAGCACATCCTTCATCGCCAATCTCACCGTTGATGGTATATCATCGATTAAAAAAATTTATGAGAAGTGGAAGGAACAAATTATACCTCAGGTAAGCATTGATGTACGTGGTTTGATTCTTAAGTCTTCTACTAAATTCAATTGATAAGGCTTCTCCATGCCCTCAAGATTTTATTTGGAGAGAATCAAGAAGAGGAGACCCAATGCGCACCACTTCCTAATCGTTCTTAACCCCATCTGACCAAGTCCTCACATTGTTGATTGCTCCTCCGTCAATGCCATTTGTCACAACAGCTTGACTATTGCTTCAACTCTCTAGTTCTCTAATCAAGGATCATCTAGTTCTCTGAGTAGGAAGCAGTCTTTTTAAAATATATATATATATATATATTTGGTTTAAACAAAGGGACATTTGTTCATTTTATGAGGATCTATTTTGAATATTGAATTTCCTTTGTTTTGAACAATTTCCCTTTAAAGGAGGGATTTTTCATCAAAGTTTCCTTAATATTTTGTGTAATATAACAAATTGAGAATACATAGTGCACATGAGCACGTGGTGGACTTTGAAAATGATAGCGACCCTCAACCTATGGGTAGAGGTTGGCAAGCTAATCAGCTTCTTCTATTTGTATGTAGTCCCAATTAAACATTCCAATCCATCATTATTACCATAACTAGAAAAATCAACTTCATCTTATGTTTTTAGTTTCTTATCTTAAACTTTTAAAGAACGAAAAATTAATTTCACATCCCCATATTTATTCAGCTGTCAATTTCACAAGGTCTTGCCGTGTATAGTCAATCAATAAGAATAACAATTTTCTTGATATTAACGCACTTTCATAGATGGAGTATGAACTGCTGGACTCTCCTCTCCCATGGATCTCATCTTCTTAGGTTTTTCCTGCTTTGTTCAGCCTTCACGTTCATTTTATGGAGAGCCAGGCCAAAAAAAAAAAAACAAAAATGATTTGGGGATGATTGGATATGGATTGCGTCTTTTGCCTCAATCCAAACGACGTGGTTTTGAAGGGAAGCATGGCTCATTCTTCAGACATAACTTACTCTAAAAGAGATCATACATTTAGCATCTATCATGTCTTAAATATAATTGTCTTTAATTAAAGAACACCCGTATGTAATCAAATTTGTAATCAGATTTTTTATCCAATCTTGCCTATAAAGCCCTCCCTCATGGTCTATTTTTTTGGACGACTCTCATGGTCATTGATGTAAAAATATTTAAAAAATTAATAAAATATTCATGACTCATTTTTTAAAATACTCATATTATATGCATGTTTGGATTGAGTTCTAACTTAAGTTGGGATGAACCAAACCTAAATTGAGATCTTAACAGCTGAATTTATCATATTTGGATAGCAAAAAAAAAAAAACCCCATAATTAAGGTTCAAACCAACGTTTTTAACAAAGCTCGTCTATCAAGTTTTTTCATCAGCGTTGGTGTCTTCTCTCTCCTCGCTATCACGTACTATGGAAGATGAGGCATCTAGCAAAAGTAATGAAATGAAAATGGAAAGGAGAAGGGGCAATACAGTGGGTCCTGCCATTTTTTTCACTTCTTCTCTGTCTTCAATTTTTCTTTTTTAATATATAGTTCCTACATAATTTTAAAAATAATATATCATGATTTCATAAATAATCAAATCATCTTTTTATAATTTTCTATCATTTCTTTATGCTTCCATAAAATGAAAGCAAGTAAACTTCACTTGTAAATATAATTCTCAATATTTAGATGATTAAAAATCTTTTTTAGTGGGAAAACAAATTATTTTTTAATCCTACTTAACCTTATTATTATTACTATTACTGTTACTATTACTATTATTATTATTACAATTATTTTTTTAAAAAAATCATGACTAGATACTGTATATTTAGAACTTAACTCATTTTAATAAATTCTCTTTCAAATAATTATCTAATAAATTTCAATTATCATAAAACAATTCCATGAGCAAGATACTAATACTCGTGAAACATTCTCATCAAATATACTTGGATTGTCAAGGTAGATGCATTGCGTTCATGATATAATTAGAGATCAACTTATAAATCATATTAATTAAATATTTTTTAATTTATAATTTTTTTAGTTTTTCATAATTGAATATTCAAGATTTTTTACTTATTAATTGTAATTTTAAATTTATTATTTTTTACTTATTAATTAATCAAAAAATATAAAAAAATTATGTTTATTTTTGTCATCAAATATCTCAACTGACTTTTTAATTAAATCATCCAAATAAATTTTAATTTATCTAACTGATTTCTATAAAAAAGGTATTCAAATATAAATTACGCTATATTAACTGATTTTTTTCTCTAACCTTAGTTTGCTAACCTTAATTAAATTTTAATCTTAGTTATAAATTTTTTAATCCAAACACACCCTATATCTTTTACTTTCAACTTAAATAATGTTCCCCCCAAAAAAATAAAATAACACGTAAATAATGATTTCTCATTTTTTTACTTCATCAACAATAATTTTAGAAAATTATAAATTTGCAACATTTAACTAATTTCAACCATTTTTTAACTTTTTGTAAAGGGATTAACATATTCTTATGATAAAGATTGAATGGAGCAAAATTTAACATTCCAATTTGTTTTTAGAAATAACCACCGAAATTAAAGAGTAACTATTTAAGTCAACCAAAAGGCTTTAATTCCTTCAAAATAAGGGAAACAAATAATGTTTAAATGTATTTGAATTTGATGGGTGCTCAGAATTTACTCACCGAAAGAATGACTCAATTGTAGTAGTTATTGAATTTCATTAACACTTGAAAATGATTTATATATATATATTTTTAAAAAAAAATTCAAAACAATGATTATGATCACAACACTTTTCATATATGATATTCAATCTAAAAATGTGAGATCTGATCTTTTTAGTATCACATGATAAATTTTTTTATAATCATTCAATTAAATAAAATAATTATTATCATGTCATGTATGATACTGATTAAGTAAGTGAATATGTATTACCTACCTAATTCGAATTCTGTTCAAATCCAAGATAATAATATCTGATATCAATATCAAATAATTATTCTATATATTTAATACGTGGGATAAATACTGAAAGGAACGTTGATTTAAAAAAAAAAAATACTGAAAAGAACAATGTGAGTTCGCTGAACCCTGCAGTCACGAGCAAGTCGGCCAACCAAATGTGTCCATCACGGCTACATTAGTGCATTTTGTCCACGCCCCCAATTTCCCCCTTTTCTTTTCATGCTTATCTGGGCCTAATAGCACCACCTTACACTCCATTCTCTCCACAAAGTCCACGTCTTCATCAGTGCTTGCTTAACCACCTCAACCCTAATTCCTCCCCCTCGTCAAGTGCTCTCCATCAACATAGGCTCCACTCACGACCAAACACCTTCCTTCCTTGCTTTCTTCTTCTTTCAGCTTACAAATTACTCTTCGCTGCACATTTCATAAGTTGGCTATTCATCTTTGAGTTGCCTTGCACGTTCAGCATCCACCTAACTCATTAATTATTAGCTGGGAATCTCTAATCCCTAACTAGAATAATATAAAGTCAAACAAAATAACCTTAATTATTCGATTCCTCACCAAAATAGCTCTCATGCTAGCTAGGCTTGGTCTGATCAGGAAGCAACGGGACATGTCTTGTGTTAGCTAGCTTCCAATTTTAGTTATGGCATGGGGCAATCCCTAACTATATCTCCAACATGTAAATTATGTTTTGTTGGGAACAGTACTTGCAAGGTGTAATTGCAGAGGTTCAGTAAATTGGACCCCTCACGTTTACATATGTAAATAAATTAAAAAATAATCCAAGAATTCTGTTTAAATATTCATTTAGGGAATCCCGAAATTATTGACCAGAGGAAGTGTTAAAAGGGTAATGGATTTTTCTTTTTAACGTTGATAACTGAAAAAAGACGTAAACAACGCATGAATACTAAAAAATTACACTTGCAACTAATGATTTTTCGAGGATTCATTGGAACAAGTCTACTAAGAATTTTGACGAACGAACCCAAAACTTCCGTCAAATTCTTTATGATCTGTTTTCTTCTATTTAATTTCTCTCTCCTCCCTCTGTCCCCTTCATCTCAATACGACAACGAGCACCTTAATTTTCTTCACGTTCCCTCTACTCACTCCTCCCTCATCCCTGCCATCTTCACTCTCGCCTTCTTCCTCTTCTTCTCCTGTGCTTTAATTTTCTTCTTCACGCAACGGTGGAAAACTCGGATCTTACTCTGGATTCCATTTCCCTTGAGTTTCTTCGGAACTTCGGAGAATCCTTCATCTCGCTCCTTCAAATAACTATAGGCTCTTTTCGCTGTTGTCCCGATGGCGACATCACTGATTCCTGATCGGAATTGAATTCTATCCGTTTCGGAATCAATGAGTTGGCTAAACATTTATTCATGCTTTAATTCCAGTAGATCTCTTCTTTTCTATCTTTGAATATCAAATCTGAAAAAAACAGAGCACTCACTTTTCCTTCACTTTCTCTCGTTCCCGAAAGACTCCGATTCCAGGTAATATTGATTTCGGAAATGGAATCCGTCGTCGTTTTGGCATTGTTTGCTTTCCTTGCATTTACGCCATGGCGTGTACTCTCAGAAGAAAGGCTTCTGGTGAACATGACTCTGGTTCGAAGCGCTCGAGCTTTTGGTGCTCGTAAGCTCTGAACTCTTTTGTTATTTTGTTCCTGAAATTTTATTCTATGATGATAAATTAACATATTCTAATTATTTCTTTCAATATAAAATTTCTAGTTTGTTTGGATGGGAGTTTACCGGCGTATCATTTGCACAGAGGATTCGGCGCCGGAGCCAACAACTGGCTTTTACAATTAGAGGTACGCCGGGCTATTCTCCCTTTAAGTTCCTTTTTTTCATCCCTCAGCCCAAAAAAATCCCTTTTTTTGTATTTGATCGCATCGTTGGAAATAAAATCGAATTCTTTCAAAAAGTAGTAAGATTGGCCAAAATAAAGAATAGAAACTGGAAATTTAAAAATTAGAAAATTTAAACTATTGAAAATAATAGCTACTCACCCATTTTCGTGCTATCCTATTAGCTAAATTGCGGCAAAATTAATAGGAGTAACAATTTGTAACTTTTTCACACGAATGCTATCTGGGAAGGATTTATTTGCAGTGTCTCTCGTGTGAAAAAGTGAAGGCGGTGTCTTTAATTTTTGGGGCTGAGAATGATGATTGGTTGGTTTCGAAATCCGATACGACAACCCTTTTATGTCGTCTTTCTGGAGTTTAGCGCGCGCGCTCTTTTCATATGTGAAATTTGGTGTTTCAGTTCCGCGCTGCTGATATAAATCCTGATGACGACGTCGGTCGTAGTCACTTTTAATAAGTTGTTGCGTAATTTTCTGAGCATGTGATTGACCAACGCCAATTAGGAACAAATGCTTTGCACTTCATATACGTTTGGAGAAAAGAAAATAGTAAACATATTTAGAAACTGTTTGGTTTCTATTTTTATTTTTTATTTTTTATTTTTAAAAACTATTTTATAGTATAATTTTTAAAATTATTTTTAAAATAAAATAAAATAAAAATTCAATTTGGTTATGTTAATCAAAAAATATTTTTAAAATTAAAAATAGACTGATAATGTTGGTTATAGGCAGTTAATATTGGTGATTAATAATAAAAATTGATCAAAATAATTATAATTTTGAATAATCAAATTTGATATTATAATTTAAAAACAAGAAAAATTAAAAATAACTTAAAGTGGTTTCTATTTTTTTATTTTTAAAAATAAAAAATGATAGTAATTTTGAAAACAATTTATTGAAAACACTTGTCTGAACAAATTTTAAAGTTTTTTTTAAAAAAATAAAAAAATAATTTTCAAAAACAAAAACTAATTAAAAAAATAAAACAGGCCCTTAATGTTTGCAAACCTGACCTTCAAAAAGTTCCAAATGTCTAGATACGATGCCGGCGTCAAATCATGAAGCATTGTTTGATAACCTAAATAAATTGAAGTCTGAAAAATAAGTGCAATTTCCATATACTCTTTTTTTTATATTCCGCATACTTATATTAAGAACTAAAAGGAAAACAACTAACAATAATGTTGAGATTCAAAATTTTGGTCCATTCTTAACTCAGCAGAATTTTTGTATGCTCGTTAATGAACGTATTCTTTCTAATGCTGTCACTGATGTTTAATTTGTTACGTTCATATAGAAATAATAAAATAAACTATAAAAAAAGAAATAATAAAATAACAGTTTTTTGAAGGTTGCTAGTGCGCTTTACAAAGCTTATTCGGTTCATCAGTCATAGCCTATGAAACTATAACTCTGGAAGTACAAACCGGCATCATGTGACGCCACCGTGTCTTCTCTTCAACCAGTTAAGATTCCCAACGACAAATTAATTATAAATAAGAATAAGAATATTATAGACTTCGGATAGAACTGTGTTATTTATAAATTATGCCTATAATTATAACTTATTCTCTAGATTACATTTATCTATTGATTGATGATAATTATAAACTTTATTTTAATTATTTTGATCTTTTGAAACTTTCTTCTCTTCCCTTTGTTTCGTTTTATTTTGAAAATTTTCACGGTTTATTCAGTTAGTAAATAAAATTAAAAAAGTGAAAATTTTGGATATTTTTGAAAAGTTGTTAAAAGAATTATACATGTACAAATTTCAAAATCATTAAATAAGTAGGAACAAGTGTATCTTACAAATTGTCTGAAAAATTAGTTTAAAATAAATTCAAAAGGCATTCTTGATATTAACACATGTAGAACATTATTGGCTCTAATCGGAGAATAGTTCTGAATAATAATGCACACTTGAAGATAGAGTAAGAATAGAGTGATAGATCAATGATTTTGTAGTACAATGGCATGTATGCTTCTTTGTAAATAGAAGATTATGATTTTGATCCTGCTTGTAGTTTTACACTTCTTCCTTAAAAAAATATAAAATATTTTTAATGTTTTAAGTTATAATTATTATCTTTTTTTTAAAATATTTTTATTAAATAAATTACTTTATATTTATTTTAAGGTGAAATGCTCTATTAGATAAAAATAAATATAAAAAAATAGAATTAGTTTAAATATAAATAATTATTTTATTAAAAAGTAAAATTTAATTAAAAATTTATATTTTTGAATTAAGCTTGTAAGTTATATCATTTGTGGTTGTCCCTCAAATTAAAAAAAAAAAAAAAGGAATGAAGCATAGGATAGAGTGATAGGCCAATAAAATGTGGCGATGAAGAATAAAGTCTCTTTATTCCAAGCTTTAAATAGAAGCAAAAACACCAAGTGATGAAATGTGGTGTCAGAAGGGACATTAATCAGTTTGGTCTGGGCCATAAATTCTACTTGAAGAAATCACATGTGGATGGAACCAGTCCGGAAGAGTATTTTAGGCACGTTTCTATTAAAGAATATAAAGAAAATATATTTTTACAATTTTTTTCTTTATGTCTGTTTATTTTCTCCAGCAATAGATGCCTTGCATTCATGGTAAAAAAAAAAAAAAATAGATGCCTCGCATTGAAAACCACTTAAATAAAAAGAGCGATATACAGAAAAAAGTTGAGCAATTCGCCAAAAAAAAAAGTCGGGTAAATAAATTTGAGAGAATTTACATTTATTGCATTTGCTCTGTGTGTGTGTGTGTTCGTTTTAAGCATGGGAAAAAATCATGGGAGAATTATACACAAATAAATATTTAAATGTGTTGTGAGAAAATGTGAAATAATTCTCCTAAAAATTACTAATAATCATTAATAGCGAAGATAATTAAATTATGGTGCTTGCCAGGGAGGGGGGTGGTGCAATGACGTGGAATCATGCGCGGAGAGAGCAAAGACTCGCAGGGGTTCAACTCGCTACATGACCAAGTTGGAGGTCTTCTCTGGCATCTTAAGTAACAATGCCTCCCTCAACCCAGGTACACTTCTTTTTTTTTTTTTTTAATTACAAATGTGAACTGGTTTTATAATTGAAATATGATATATTTTTCAATAATTACAATTACAAATTTCAAATGCTAGAAAGAATGATCACGGATGCAGGTTGGATAAAGTATTTAATATTTCTGATTATGGGTCCATATATGTAAGGGGTTAAAAATTTTGTTGTCCATGTCGAAGTTCCACGACAGCTGTCTCCATCCATGTCTCTTTCACGTGCTCTCTTGGGAGATCTGTATAGCTGTGTTTTTCACCTGCAACAAGCCAACAACCCTCCGCTCTTGTTTGTTTCTTTTGTCCTGTCCTTACTCCTATTTTGTTGGTTTTTTGGGGCTATTAAATGCAAGATGTGTAAAATCTTATTTCTTAAAAATATCATGTTCTGAGAATATTTAAAATAAAAATTATATTTATTAGATAAAATTATTATTAAATCAAAACATGTTTATGCACAGTTTCTTTTATAATAATGTAATAAGTATGTGGTCAATTTTTTAATCACATCATATACTTAATTATCATATTATCAATTAAAATTAAAAATTTATACACCTATTTTTTCATCATAAATGCTACTCTCTTCATCTTAAATTATAAGATATATTTAGATAAAATTTTACATATCGATAAATTTTATTAAATATACTTAACAACCTTATTTTTTTAAAATAAAAATATAAATTTTTTTAAAATATTTATTATTTAATATATTGAAAAGAGAAGGGATGTAAATTAAATAAAGAAAAATAAAAGATAATATTAAAATTGGTGCATTTAATGAAATTTTAATCTATCCAAAGTATTTTATATTTTGAAATGAAAAAACTCATTCAAAAATATCATGCAATTTAAAATGGAAGGAGTATAAAGACACAATCGTATTTAGATCAAGTAAAAAGAATTCTATGCCCTTTTAAAGTAAGATAATGGGTTGAATTGTGATGTCAAAAAACCATATTAAAATGGTTTTCACTACTTGGGCTTTGATAATACTTAAATCTAATCTTATGGTATCATTATCATATAATTTTAATTTCTTAATATAGGAATATTATGTCATTATTGTGAATAATTAGCATTTATTAGGATCATTAATTAGACTTTATTAGTATTTATTAGTTTTTATCTCTTTTGATGTATATATATAGGACCAGTTTGTACATTAAAAAAGTAATGAGATAATACAATTTTTTTTCTCTGAAAATTCCACACTTAAGGCTTTTACAAGGTTTTTCAGTCTTTCTTATTTTGGGTGCGTGCAGATTTCTACAATTGGAACCGTGTAAAGATTAGATATTGTGATGGAGGCTCTTTCACGGGCGATGCTTCGTTCAACAACGGGGTAATTAATTTGTCTCTTTCCCTTTTCTTACTCTATATTTAATTAATTTCTCTGTTAAATTATGAAAGTTAAGACAGTAAGTAGCCAGTGACTTTTGATGCATGCATGTGAAATGAACCCCAGACAACATTGCTTTATTTCAAAGGACAAAAGATTTGGGAAGCAATCATTCGTGACCTCCTGCCTAAAGGTTTGGGCAAGGCACGCAAGGTATTCTATGTTTCCTCCTCACTTTCTGCATATTTCTTCAAGGCGTCAAGAGATATTTTAATACTCAAAAGCTTTATTTGATTCCAAAGTATTGTCATTATATATACATGGTCTTGGGAAAAAAAGGATTTTTTTGGGTTTTCACAAAGATTTTAGAATTGGTTTTCTGTGGATATATACTTTTTAAACATTCCTAAAGATTCTTAATTTATATACACTTTGTCCCAGAGTACAAGGTATTTTTAGACAAAAATTATATATATTAATAAAATTTATTAAATATACTTCACAATTTTATTTTTTTAAAATAAAAAATAAAATTTTAAAAATATCCTTTATTTAATACTCAATTTGTAAAAGAATATTAAAAAGAGAGCATATATGGAAATGATAATATTAAAAAAATATTATTAATGAAATTTAATTTTTGTCAAAGTGTTATGTATTTTAGGATGCCTTATTCCCTTAAAGGTGTCTTATAATTTAAAATAAAATAATCTAGTAGACTTGTTTTTCTAAATTGCTAGGATATATGAAGAATAAGTTACTATGTTTTTCATGCTTGCGACTCACCTATTATGTCTGTTTGTGTAGGCTTTGCTTTCAGGTTGTTCGGCAGGAGGCTTAGCGACATTTCATCACTGTGACAGCTTCACTAGTCAATTGCCAAGGAATGCGAGTGTTAAATGCTTGAGTGATGCTGGCTTCTTTCTTGACGAGTAATTTCACTCATGCTTTCCAATAAAAGTTTCATGTAATCATGTGCATTAAATTACTTCAATATCCTGTTTTTAACGTTATCTTCATTCTTATCTTCCATCCGTGCAGGAGAGACATCGCTTTGAACCACACTATGAGATACTTCTTCAAAAGCCTTGTTTTATTGCAGGTAAACCTCCCATACATAACTTACATTACTTGCATACACTTTGAGGATTTTATTTGCGCCGTGTTACTTGATCCTTTCAAAATAACTTTTTCCAAATGATATTTTAAATAGTGAGAAGTTCGAGTTTACTGCATTTACAATCTCTTTGGTGTCAATTACATATGTGAGTGTAGAATAAGAAGAGTAGGTATGAGAGGTGAAAAAGAGAGAAGAGGAAGTTCGGTTTATATTGTGGTAATGCGTGGGAATAAAATTATGCTTTTTAATAAGTTTCTCTCTTCTTCTAATATATAAATGGGAAAATCACTCCTAGGGCCCCTAAAGGAAAAAAAATTGCATTTAGGCTTAATGCATTATGAAATTATTCTACAAGCTTGAGGGTATGTTTTAGGAATAAATACACAATTGACCTTAATTAGAAAAAACGGCAAGTAAAAGTTCAGATTTTTACAATAAGGTGTTCACATATTCATAACTTTAAGATGAGATGCTAACAAATAATTGTTCATTAGGAGTGAAATTATTGTTCAAAGTAGATAAGTTTGTGTTCGTTAAGTTTACAAATTTACAACTTAAAATTCAAATGTTTACAAATACAAGTTCATTTGTTTAGAAGTTAAAATTCAAAATTTATAACTTCATATATTCATAAATAATGTTTATTGACAGCAAGTTCAGATTTTTACAATTACATATTCATATATTAACAAGTAATTGTTTATTGGTAATGAAATTTTTGTTCATGGTTGACAAGTGCATATTAGCTAACTTCATAAATTTATAACTTAAAGTTTGAATACTCACGAGTATAAATTCATCTATTTATAAGTTAAAGTCTAGAATTTATAATTTTATATATTCAGAACTAAGATTCATCTTGACAACAACTTTAAATTTTTACAACTAAATATTCACAAATTCACAGCTTAGGTTCACATATTAATAGGTAATTATCTATTGATAGTAAACTTAAAGTTTTTTCTTTTGCACTAAAGGTAATTGTGTCTTTTCTCTTTAAAATATATTTGCAAAAACAGCTCTCGGGTCTGCAGAAAAATTTCAGAATGCATTGGATCCTGACTGCAATTTTTTCTCCTTTGGCCCTAGATGTGATTTTCCCCATATAAATTCAACATTTGGCATCAGAGACCGTTAGTATTAGGTCGCGCCTCCTTCATGTCTTATATATTGATCTCTTTCAACTGTGAAGACTTACCTATTTTCAGCCCTCTTCTCCTGTGTGCGTAATCAATTACACAACTGGATCAGTGACTTTGGTAGCACTCAACACTTCACCAATTAAGTTGGATCCCTAGCCATTTGACTTCATAGTCCGAGCACTGACAAAACTTTGAATAAATTACACAATTCACTATCATGCTACTACTACACACACATGTAAGTGTGTGTGATTGTGTGGGTTTGTCGTCGAGTAGAGAGAAAAGAAGAGTATCTGAGAAAGTGAGGGTGGTGTGAGAGTTGTCAGTCAATGAGCATGAAGAATAGAAGAGGAAGTTCTATTTATATTGTAGTAATATGTGGGAATGAGATTATATTTTCTGATAAGTCGCCCTCTTCTTCAATCTATATTCAACATGGAAAACTTCAAAGGGGTGAATGTAATTTACTAAGACCATTCTTCTTTCTTTTTTGGCCAAATTCACTCAGACCATTCAAGATCACATAAAGAAGTTAACGGAACTACTCATTTTGTTCTTCTTGCAAACTGAAAAATGCAATCTTAGTTGACCCTTTTTGTTCCACAGGGGATAGAGCGAAATCTAAACAGAAACTGCACAAGGTCCCTGTTCTTTCCAGACTTGGTAAAATTTCTTGGTGAAGTCGGATCATTAGCTCGGTAAGATCACAGTTTCTTCAGTACAAGATTTTGACTTGTGCGATGTTTTCATGCAGTGCTTCTTCCCGCAGTATGTATTGAAGTACATAACTACACCATATTTCATCTTGAACTCTGCTTATGATGTATTCCAAGTAAGAATTTCTGACACATAGATACCTCATATGATCTTCCCACTATAGCCTACGAATTAAAAAGAATGAATATAACTTGAAATTGAAATGCCAACAGTTTCACCACATATTGGTCCCACCTTCTTCTGATTTGCATGGACATTGGAATCACTGCAAGATAAACCCAGCGGCATGCACTCCAGACCAAATTGATGTACTGCAAGGTTGTTTACTTAAAAGAACTATGTTATCTGCTCTGCACGTCTTTAAAGTTCACGCTTCTCTTCTTTGTAAATAGTAAAATTTATTTTGTCGCACATTATTCAGGCTTTAGGCGCCGCATGCTTGCAGTTTTAAGACCATTCTATATATTCTCAAGAAGAGGAGGAATGTTCATTAATTCATGCTTTGCTCATTGTCAAAGTGAATCCCAAGATACATGGTTTGGAGATGATTCTCCAACAATAAACGACAAGGTACCGATCTTGATCTTTGATAGAAAGACATGATGATGAATCTGTTTTTAATATGTGAGATTTACAGTTACTTGCTCATTAATTTACCGTCGCTGCATAGCAAGCAAACTAGCTTCTGAAGGCTTGTTAAGCCTGTCTGGGTAATATTAGACTAGAGATTCTGAACAAAAGATGCTATTCCAATAACAGTCAATTGAATTTGTTATTGAAATAGTATACCAGTAAAAAGACTCGATCACGGATAAGATCTAAGTCTGATCTTTGCATACTTTTTAAGGGATTTCCCTCAAAATCTTGATAAACTTTTGTGTAGAACAATTTTTGGGTTTTTAGCAAAGTTTTTTCTTTTCCTTTTCCTTTTTTTGGGTGAAAGCAGAGTTTTTCTTTTTCAATAACATGTTGAACTGCTCTTTTACAGACTATTGCAGAAGCCGTTGGAGATTGGTATTTTGGCAGAGATAGAACCAAGGAAATAGATTGTGCATATCCATGTGATAAAACTTGTCATAATCTTATACCATAGGCTCAGGTAAAGCACATCTGATTTCAAATTATATTTTTTTTATTAAAATAACAATAATAATTTGAATCTGAATTGATGGGCCAGATTAATTTTACCCTCCCTTAAAGCGAAGTTGTTTCTTAGTCCATTTGGCATCTATACCTCATCTGACAAAAAGAATAATATACAATAAATTGCCCTCTATACATATTCCCAGGACCGAACCATTTAGTCTTCTTTCTTCTCATTCATTTCGGGTGATATCTTGGAGCCTTAATGTCCATTTATCTGATCTGATTCAAGTTAAAAATGTTGCAGGTTGATGAAAAGATTGGAGTGAAGATTTAGCTTCAAGTTTCTCTGTATATCACAAAGAAGATATGATTCAAGCTGACATGTTGCAGGAGTGAAAAGTTAGCATCAGATACTCTCAGAGATGGGGAATCTTGAAGGATTTGGGTAGGGAGCTGTGCAAGTATAAAGTGATATAGATTAGATGCCAAATTCTTTAACAGAACCAAGAATGAAAGATTAAAAAAAAAAAAAAGAGAAAAGTATAGCTTTAGTGACAAGCATTCAATTGGTCACATCATATTCTTTGTTTATTATTTTGTCGATCCCATAATAAATACTATTCCACTATTGTTTCTCCAGTTCCACTTCTTTTTCTTGAACCAGAGCCTTTGTCTATTCTAGCAGGCTAAGATCCCTTAAAACATTCAAGTATGAGTGAAACTTGTCATCATGCCAAAACATGCATGCAATATATCTTTAAAGTGTCAATTTAGCCTGGTCTTGCCAGATTTTTCCTTTTAAAATTTTAAACTCAATACCTTTTCCAAAAGAGGGAGGTAACATTTTCGCTAGCATAATTGATTGTTGACTAGTTTTGTCAGAATTTAGATTCATTATACTCTACAATAAGAGGGAGAAATGTAGAGTATCTTTTTGTTTTCATTCATTCATTTATTCTTTTATGAATTTTCATTCTCAGTGGATTTATTAAATCTTTGGATCTATACCTAATTACTTCAAAAAAATAATTAAAATTGACTTTTTTTTCCCAGTTGAGATTAGTTTGAATGGAACACACAATCTAACTTAAAATCATTAATTAATCAGAATATTTTTTAAGTTTGCTTTAAAGATGTTCATAAGTCGTACTCTCGATTAAAAAGGATGACAAATTTCAAGAGGTTGGCCTTGGTGCAAATGCAAGCATGTGAGCAGAGAAAAGGGCGGCTTGGTGACCGCTTCGCCGGATCCCATCCCTGTAGTATTTCGCCGTTACAAGGTTGACCCCATCAGCTTACAATCGTTATTATTTTCATCTTCAGGGTACTGATTTGGCTTAACAATGTGAAAAATTACTGATATGACAAATAGTGTGTGCAGTCAAATAATATTTAGAAGAAAAAGACTTAAGTACATAATCTTATATATTTTAAATACTTTTACCTAATCAAATCAAGGCAGGTAAATTTTAACATATTAATAATGTTAATAAAAAACTTGTTATACAATAAATAATGTATAAAAAAATTATATATATATTAATTTAATTGAAAATATACAAACATTTTAAATATACAAGTTTTTCTTTATTTCCAATACAATGCTATTAAGAATTCCAACTTCTGCACCAATATTTTTGAAACCTCGTGCATGCATGTTAATTGACGTCAAACAATAAACAAGCACTTTTTTTAATTAAAATTATGAATTTTCAGTTATATTTTTATATTTTATATTTTTCTTTTAAAATATTACTCCCTCCGTCCCAAATTATAGAGAACTTTTAAAGAAGTTTTTCTATCCCAAAATATAAGACACTTTGAGTATATTAAGGTTTCATTAAATGCATTGTTTTCAATATTACCCTTTCTCTCTCTCTATAATTAATTTTCATCCCTTCTCTTTTCAATGTATTAAATGATGGATATTTTTGAAAGTTTATATTATTATTTTGAAAAAATAAGATTGTTAAGTGTATTTAATGAAGTTAATTAGTATGTAAGATTTTATTTAAAAGTGTATTATACTTTGAGATGGAGGGAGTATTATCATATAAATATCTTGTTTAAGATAATTTTATATACAGTTAATGATATACTATTAAGGGAGAATTTCATTTAAGGATCGTGGGAGGAAGATATCTTTAAGTGGCTCTCAAAAGATTGCAAAATTTCAATTCAGTCTGGGAGACTGAACTAAAGATAAGTTTGATGAGGAAAGAACGAAATTGCCCTTGATGCAAATACTAAAGAAATAAGCTATTAATGATAAAAGGAAGAAATGCCCATGAAACATAAAACATGTACATGCAATTTTGTATTTCTCAATCTTCACCTTTGGGAGCAGTTGATGCTAACGTTTATCACCCATGAGTTCACGAGATTCACTCCCCACCTCCTGTTTGATTATGCGTTCTTTACATAATATGATTCATCCTTCTCCATGTGATATGATTGGAAACGAAATGGGAGTAGTGTCAACCGGGAACTGTTTTAAAGGATAACTTGGCAGCAATCAATCGTACAAAGGTAAAATACTTTCATTTGTAGTAATTAGAGGCACCTTTTGTTAAACGCATATGTTATGGGTATGGGTTTGGATATGGGTATGGGTTTAGTAAGGGGAATAGGCATAGGATGAATTAATTTATTTGCTTGAAAGAGTTAGTGCTTTTAGTTGATGAAAAGTGTCAACGTCAAAATTTAGAAATACAAAGCTATTAGGTATTGAAATTGCTGTGATTGTATGGTGAGTTGATAAAAGCTTTATGTTATGTTGTTAATTTTACAATTTCTATTGTAAAGTTATGAGTTCATCCAGTACTAATAAAACAATTGAAGTTAACATTTTATTGACATATAGGCTGGGATTACTTATGGCTTCGAGTTCTGTAAAGTAATTATTTTCCAATTCCATATATGGGGTGAATTCGTGAAGAATTTAGAGGGAAACACAAGATATGAGGGTGGGATTATAAGTGAAAGACTGATAAGACAAGGGATGACCTATGAAGAACTGAAAAATATGATCTTAATAGATGTGTGGCCTGAAAGTAGCGGCGATATCGTAAAGTATACATTAAGTTATGATACAAACATGCTATTAGATCTCATAGATGACAAAGAATTATCACAGTTAATTGAGTTGAACGATAAAAGTGGTCATGTCTATGTTGGCAAGGGTGCAAAAGAGTCCAAATAACTATCACACTTGGATTGCAACAAGTGTAAGTTCACTTATACTTACCCCTGATGGTAAGCTTAATACAAGTTGATAAATGTCTAATATGACTTGTAAATTTCAGGTTAGATCATATAGTATCACCTTTAGATAAAAGCTCACTTTCTCCAACAATATGGGAGTTTGATACAGAAAGCTTCAATGTACCTTCTCCTATTTAAAGCATGAGTCCATTGTCAATTGCACAAAGTTTAGCCATAGAAAGTCTCCCTACGCCTTTGCCTGAGATGAATGGTTCAAAGTGAAAGAATGTGTTAATAGGTATTGGGCAAACATTTCCTCACGCCGTGGCATTTAGACAAGCTTTATACAAATACAGTGTGGCATATAAGTTTGCATATCAGTTTGTGAAGAACGATGAAAAGAAGATTATTGCATGTTATATGGTTGAAGGTTGTCCTTGGAATATTAGAATATATGAAGTTAGTAAAAGTTTGTTCCTTGCTATTAGAAAGTTTGAGAAAGAACACATGTACACTGCATAGGACAACCTAGTGGTACCTCACAAAAGAGATGCAAACTAACATCTTTTATCATAATTGATGACTTGAGATCTAGCATAGATAAGTCTACAAATGACATAAGGTGAGATTTGGAAAGAGAGTATAGTATTAGCCTTACATACCAACAAGCGTACAGGGCTAAAGAGAGAGCAATAGTAGACATCCATAGTCTTCTAGAGGAATCTTACATGCCAATCCCGTGGTTATGTGAAAGGTTGTAAGAAAGTGATCCCAGCACTATAACCTCCCTGAGGTTAAATCATACTTAACTCCAAATTATGGTAATCCAAGGCTTAACTCACAAGAATTACCAAACTGTAGGGTTTATAAATGAATTTCTCAAATTTTATTTTAAGGAATCCTAATTTCAACCCTTCAAATCTCAAACATGTTTTAAGGACTCCAAATCAAAGTTTTAAAGATAAAGCGAAAGCTTGAAAATTAATTGGGACCTAAAAAAGAGTTTTAAAACTTAAAATAGATTTTTACATAGAATTTGACATGTGCACCACAGCTTACGGTTTGTGCGCTGTGACGTGTCTCCTCTGTGCCATGCGTCACGACGTGAGGGGCCATGCGCCACGGTACATTACACAAAATTTAACAGATCAGTGCTGTCATTTAACAGCACAGGGAGCGAACTTTAGATGTGTCTCAAATCTCTGTTCTACATTCGATTGAGGTGGTTTTGGTGTTTACATGGAGCTTTCTCTTAGCTCTAGCTAATGGCACCAGTTTCACACTCAAATTCATTTTCTATCAAAAGTTGGATACTAAAACCCATTTTGACACATTTTCACAAAATTTCCCAAATGGGGTATCTTAAGTCAATCACACGTACCAATAGCCTACATCAACCCTTCGACCACACTCAATAGACTCTTGCGGACTCGTGCAACACACCACATGCAATCAGATACACTTATTTCACAAAATCACCATTCAACTCCAATTTTTACAAAACATAAAGGGGGAGAAAAAATTGCACAAAATCAACCATTTCATTCATATTTCTCAAAAATACATATATTCCTACTTGCACAAGTATTTTGGCTCTATCCTCAGGGTTCACAACAAAAACTCACTAACCTAGGGCACAAATCTAGTTAAACACAAAATCATGCAAGTAGTACACCATTCATGACAATTAATCCTAGTTGGTAATTACATTAACAAATACACATGAAAACAACTAAAGAGAGACATAAAGAGGATTTACTTCACAAATCCTAAGTCTCTGTGTGTTTTTCCTTAACTCAGATCCAATGAGCTAGTCTCTGAAAATATTGAGAATTGAGGATTAAGTATAACTACTCAGTAACCAAGTTTTACTTAACCCTTATAGTTACATATTAATTGTAAATAGATGCAAATAGGCACATAACACATATATCACATAGTATTGGGCCATGGTTCACAAAACTAACAACTATGTAATCGGGCTTATCATAAAACACTATATCATGTTGTTTTCAAAAACATAACTCTAGGTTGCAAAAATAACAATCATGCGCCCTTAACATGTGCCGAACCACAACACTAACAATTATATGGCCGAACTTATATGTATAATCATATGCCAACCTCATATCCTCTTATTACCTCTGACACAAAACCGGTGACTATCACATAGCTACGTTCTTCACGGACAAACCAAGGCTTCCACTTGTGAGAAGCTACCGGGCCAGGATTAACTCACTCACTTATGTAATCCAGTTTCCCACAATATTAATAACCATAGCTTGTCGTACCCCTAATCTAGCCTCCTTATGAATTGGTGGAGACTAGTTAGGTTCGAGTTCCTTGTAGAACAAGTAGGACCATCCCGAATCAATCATGAGACAAGGGCTACCTCCTGATTCCAACGATCCGTGCCAAGGCTAGTTTTTAATTTCAACGGTCACTGCTAATACTACGTGGATTTCAACCAATCTGCTCATCTCCTTAGGCAAACTCTTGCCAATAGTCTTGCTATGCACATTTCACATATAATATGCATTTAACATTCTTCTCTCAACACTTACACTCACATAACACAAATACTTCACAATTTAACACTT